GGGGGGGGGGGGGGGGGGGGGGGGGGGGGGGGGGGGGGGGGGGGTTGTCAGGGCTAATTTTGTTGTCAGGATTTCAAAATACTGTGGAAAGTCTTATTACCTTAATACCACCCAAGCCTTCACAAACAAATTTTAAACCGTAGATAAAAGTTTACCCATTTTCCTACATTGCTTGTATTTGTGTTTGTTGCAATACACCTGCCCTCTCCTGGTCTGGTGTAATATCACACCTGTATGCAGCGCCGACTGCAATCATCTGCACCCACAGCCAAGTATAGTATGAACACAAGCTGCCGTTCGCATGACCGTCTGCAACCCGAAAGTGCATGCGAAAAAGTAAAGTATGTACTAGACTTAAGAGTGATCAGGATGACACAGCGGTGGAGTGCCAGAGCAGGAAGCGGCACACCATGAAATACTAATCGACACCCAGCAGGTTAATCACTTCATAAACATTTACATTATTAATGCTTCACTGACACAATAAAACACTCCACTGGATTGGAGTGGAACTCAATTCATTTGAAACCTCCAAGATCTCTGGGCTATTAAATGTACCATCAAAGATTTTTTTTTTTACTTCATTTAAAACTCTTCCTCTTCTTTTGCTCCAGAAGAAGCACCAGCTGTTAATTGAGACATTTTACCAGAGGAACTTGAATTCCCTGGGTGGACAGAGCAAAGCAGGCTTTCCCTCGAGAAGCTGCTTGCTAACCAATGGACTCACGTGAGCAGCTGGGCATTGTCATGCTTCTTGCGGGACTTGAGCTTTTGCCTCCACTGCAGGAAGGACCAGAGTGTCTTGTTGGGGTCATTTGTAACTATGCAGTGGTCCCGCTCTGTCCACACCTCCAGCCCAATGAGGGGCACTCGGATGTTCAGAGCCCTATAGAACTAGAACATGCTATAGAGTTACATTCAGTTCTGTTGTATTCTCTCAAGCATAGCACAATTCAGTAAGAATATCAAATAAAAACTGTAGGAAATTATCCTTAATGTACTATATGTAACTAAATAGATACATACATACTACATAACTGAAAATATACAGTAGTTTGATATGTTGTGCAAATATGTGCAAGGCCTGGATGTACAGCTGTGCATATATATATATATATATATATATATATATATATATATACAGTCATTGACAAAAATCTTGTCACATAAGGACATAGTAACTTAAAAAGGCATATAACTTTATTTCTAATCAATCAATTGTTACAATAAATGGATCAATTTAATGCCAAGGGCTTTCACATTAATAATTGGGTGCAAAATGAAACAGTCAAAAAGTGTCCTGATGTTAAAGTCCATAAACACCTGTTTTTTGCAAGGACAAAAGTCTTGTCATGTCTTTTAATGATTCAACCAATCACAGATTAGAGGTTCACCTGTGACAAATACTGTAATTAACATAATCCCAGGTGTGTATACAAAGATCCCCAGCACACCACCAGACCTTCACTTGAAGTGCAACCTGACTTCTGTCAAAGATTCAACCACAGACCAAGTCTGCTGAGGTGTCAGACATCGTTAATGTATCCAAACGTCAAGTGGAGAGGATTAAAAAAAGATGTTCATGACAAACCCAGGTCAGGCAGACCACGTAAGACAACTCTTCGATAGGACCATTTGTTGTTTCGAAAGTCCAGGGCCAACCCTTTTTCAACTGCAGCAGAGCTACATCAGAACTGGTCACCAGAAACCGCTGTGTCTACAAGAACAGTTTCTCGAATTCTCACACGCAGTGGTCTCTATGGCCGAATTAGTGCACAGAAACCAGCATTAATGAGAACACAACAAAAAAACCGTGTTGAATTTGCCAAGGCCCACAGCTTGCAGCAAGGATGGACAGTGGCAAAGTGGCAGAAGGTTGATTTTTCTGATGAATCATCCATACCAAATGCTGCAAATACTGCAGGAGACCTGTTGGAACCCGCATGG